CAAATGGAATCACAAATCACCAAAACACCTTGGAATAACTTGAGAGAATATGTATGCACACTAAAATCGGCCCACTCTTATTTTCACACACTTGTGCCAATTTTGTGAGCCAAGGACCCCTTTATATATTATGGAGGATTAGGGTTACATCCATGTAAACCCTAATACCCATGACCTTTCATTTACATAGGATCCATGGGTTAAAAGCTCCATGGACCATCCATGAAAGCTTAGCCCAACCTAAATGAACTTGGCCCATTCCATATATATAAGAGTCCATATTTAATTAGTTCTTTTTGATCACTTAATTAATTCTAAATTAATTCTTGATCAATACTAATTAAATAATATGATTCCATATTAATATATTAGAACTTATAATATATTAATATAAATCATAAATATACCATTCTCAAAAGACTATCCATATAAATTGTGCCGGTGAAGTGCAACCCAAATGGACCATGCCGGGTCAGGTCAAGTACATACCAGATATAGTTATGAACTTAGACATTAATCCAACAGGTACCTTGATGATGGGACACTTATTGTAGATTCGAAGGAGGTGGCCAAAGAGGTGGACATCATTAAGGTGATTCGCATAACATTGGGCCTTCAATTGAATATCAAGAAAACCGAGCTCTTTTGGCCCTCGTGTGATGGTGGGAAGTTGTGTGAGGGGGATATTCCCGGTTGGTATCGAGAGGCCGCCATTAGAGGTGAAACTTCTTGGAGGAGCTGTTAGTAGAGATGCTAGTTTCATTAGCAACTTAGCCACAAAGAGAGCCGACAACGCTGTGAATTTGATGCGCCTTCTCCCACAATTGTCTGGCCCCCAGAGTGAGCTCCTTCTACTTCGGTCTTGTATGGGTATTGCTAAGCTTTTCTTTGGGTTGAGGACATGCCAAACCGTGCACATGGATGAGGTGGCGTTGTGTTATCTAACAATGGGTTACGGCGGGCCATTGTGGACATTTTGGTTTGTGGTGGCCCTTTCTTTGGTGACATACAGTGCCAAATTAATTCCCTACCTATTAGGTTTGGTGGTTTGGGTTTATACTCGACAGTAGAGGCTAACTCATATGCTTTTGTTGCCTCAAGGGCCCAATCTTGGGTATTGCAAGACAACATCTTACGGGATAGCGACGTATATAGTATGGATTCTGATTATGCTTGTGCCTTGGCTTCTCTTCGTAACAAGCTTCTAAACATTGACCTTAGCTATTTTACTACTAAGGACACCCCCTAATGCCCAAAAGACACTGGCAAGTGCCCTTTTTAGTAAATTTGTCCAAGATATGGAAGTGCATCTCGACATGACGGCTCGACAGAAAGCAGTTTTTCAGTGTTTTCGTGCACCACATGCTCAAGAATTTCTTCTAGCTATCCCTATAGATGGGCTTGGCCAACATATGTCTCATGTGGTGTATCCTACTATCCTCAAATATCGAATCATGATCCCAATATTCCCAACTGACGAGATATGTCCGGTGTGCCATAAGGCATGTTTGGATTTTTTTGGAGAGCATGCAGTTCACTATAAAGAACTCTCGGGGTTCAAATACATGCACGATATAGTTAGGGATGTTTATTTTGAAATATTTAAGTGTGCCGGGTTTTCCACCAAAAAAGAGGCTCCTGTGAATTTCTTGACTGACCCGACAGAAGGAAGGTCAACCATTAGACCGACCGATGTTCTGATTTTTGGATGGGTTAGGGGTATCCCCTCTCGTAGGCTTGAGGGGTAGGAGTTTCACAGTGGGGCAAGCTGCTTTAAAAGTTGTTACATGCAAGGTCACCAAACATGAGAAATCATGCATGGAAAATCAACACGTCTTAATACCATTTGCATTTGATACGTTTGTTTCCATACGTCGGATACGGTGGAGGTTCTTAATAGAGTACAACGGATCATGCATAACAATGTTATATCCCCTAGATCTATAATGTCGTTCGGTGTGGGAGAGAAAACCACGCGTGAAGGATGATGTGACACCTCTACCCACGTTTGAACACCGCCCCAATAGGGAGTGGGTGTGTTGTGGCATGACTCCGGCTACTGGCGAAGACGAGGAAGCTGACTGGTCAATGCTTCCTTTGATCGTTTCTTCTTTCTTTATGAACGTTGGATGATTTAAAAAAAATACATTTTTTTGTAGAGTGCATCAGTTACTTTAAATTTGGAGTTGTAGGGTAAAATGGAGAAAAGAGTTGGACAGTTGTTGCGATGTGTAGGGAGGAAGAAGACAACAAAATGAAGACTTGGCAGCTTTAGTCCTTGAAGTCTTGGTTGATTACACCTCCCACCCTAAATCAAATTTCTTATACTTAAATGATTTTCGAAAATTACATATCATACCCTTGACCTTAGATTTTTCAATTTCTAATGTAGCTTTAAATATTTATTGAATTTTAAAATTATGTTTTTATTTAATTTAATGTACATTTTTATTATTAAAATATTTATTTATGTTTAACAAGTGTTTTTATTTAATATAATATAAAAAAATAATAAAAAGATAAATAATGTGGAATGTTAACCATTTCCAAAGGGTAGTAGACTTGTAGTGAACATCTAGTGGAGCTGATGTGACTAGGGATGAGCATATGGACCGGGAAACCGGCCCCGGAACCGGAACCCGATGGAACCGGTCGGTCCGGGACCGATACTATAATTTCGTCAATTTTTGGAACCGGGACCCGGTAAGAACCGGTCATTGGAACCGGCCCAAAACCGGGAACTGGACCAGATAACTCACTCAAATTTTGAAAGTTGCATAACTCACTCAATTTAACCTTTTTTGACCTGAATCTTTTTCCTACATGTAGATTATGATTTGTAGTTAAGTTTATACTATAAAAATGCTTGATTTGGTTAAAATTTGAATGAGTTACAAGTCCCGCAAGGAAGGGTGTCAAATCAGAATTTTTTTTATGTTTCAGCAATTAAATGTAATCTGACTTTGTTGTTCAAATGTGCATAACTCACTCAATTTAACTTGTTTTGACCTGAATTTTTTCCTACATGTAGATTAGGAATTGTAGTTAAGTTTAGACTATAAAAACGCTTGATTTGGTTAAAAATTGAATGAGTTACAAGCCCCGCAAGGAAGGGTGTCAAATCAGAATTTTTTTGTTACAACAATTAAACATAATCTGACTTTGTTGTTCAAATGTGCATAACTCACTCAATTTAAGTTTTTTTTTTATCTGAATCTCTTTCCTACACGTAGTTTAGGTTTTGTAGTTAAGTTTACACTATAAAAACGCTTGATTTGGTTAAAAATTGAATGAGTTACAAGTCCCGCAAAGAAGCGTGTCAAATCAGACCGGTTCCAAAATCGAAAATCCGGCAAAAACCGGACCCGAAACCGGAACCGGTAGAACCGCCGGCCCGGTTCGGTTCTTGATTTTGGCTGAAGCCGGTTCCCGGGTTGGGCCGGTTCGGTCCGTTTGCTCATGCCTAGATGTGACGCTGACATGACAACATTTTTCTAATGGGTTGGTGGTGACCACACCCCTTAAGCCTAAATGTAGTATTCAAAAGAATTGATTTTACCATATAAAAAAACTTAGCGGCGCAACTTTTTGCCCGTTTGTCATCACAGTTGTTGTACGATGATAACTAAATATTTGAAATTAAAAAATATGTAAATAATAATATAAAATTAAAGATAAATCATTGTTAAATCTTTTTTTTACACTAAACTTAAAATAAAAATAAAATACTCTTGAGATAGTCTACATCTACATGGGTAGAGTTCGTTGTCAAGTAAAACGTACTTATCATCAAATGATGTTTTGAGAAAGACCTAGGGGTGTTTCTGTAAATTCACTTTTCTCTTAATTTTCTAAAGGCAAAGCAAAGGGTCGTCAAACGACAGTGCAGACAGTCGTATTGAGACCACTTGGCCGACGACCAACTTGTGTTTAATCCAATAACAGTGAAGCTTCAGATACAGACAATATGTAGATAATGGTGTCTACGTATATTTTTAATGGCTGAGATCTGTTTAAGTTAACACGTGGCGTAGTCTCATCAACGTTTTATATTTTCTGTATATCTCTGTCCACTTGCACCCATCTTAAGTGCGACCCTACAGCTCCTTATGGTGGACATCACATGTCATGAGGCAGCAACAACATGGCATGGTTTGGGACATTACCATCACGGCAAGTGTGATGCGTTTCTACTTTTCTTATAAATATTTAAAATTTATATTGGCTCATAAGAAAGAAATATATTTTTATAAGATTATATAATCAAATTATCATATGTTTTAAAAAAGAACACTATCTTGTTGTATTTGTACATTTACGTAATATCATAGGTGGATCCAAGATCAAAGTAAAAGGGTATCCCTAACAAAAAAAATCGCGTAATACACAATAAGAAAAAAAAAATCCGAAAAAAATTACATTATTAATTTTTTTTATGGATATCCCGGGATATATACTAGATCCGCCTATGCGTAATATGGTTGATGTTAATATTGGAGGCAATTGTGTATTTCTTTCATTATACAATATGTTTTAGTTTAAGATGTATCACTATCAGCTAATTTATTTTTCGAAATTTTTTAAGTTATATTTGGAAAACTAAAAAATAGTTTATAAAAACATAACATTCTAAATACTCTATTATGCCAGTTTATATATTTCAACTAATTTACCAATTAGTTTTACCAAACGTCAGTTTTTATCAATTAGTTTTTTAACTAACAATTAGTTTTTAGCTAGTACTCAAATATAGCCTTAATTTACTTTTTTATTGTTACTTTTTATTGTTACGATCAAATAAATTAATAACTTTGATAGCTTTTAGATTTCTTTGTATTTATAAAAATATTGTTTCAGATAATTATTCCATAGCTAAACATCTTTTATAAGTAACTAGAAAGGTTACCCCGCTACGCGGGGGCCAGAAGCTTTCAATGTTGTTTCCGAATTGATAAATATGACAGACATAGAAAGTGCAAGGATGAAAAGTCCGGACTTTGCCCCCGACAAAAAATGTAAAAGTTTACTTTAAATATTAAAAGGTTCCAAAAAAATATAAAAATATTGATTGCAATGACCAAAAGTGTCAAAATGGGTAATGTGATTGATTACCCCTCCCCTTAAACATATTAGTTTTATCTGAACCACTGAGGTTGTATAACATATATTCTGAAAACCAACCTTCCAATACCTCATCGAAGCTGCAACAAACATTTCAACAAACAAAAAACGTTTTTAGGCCAACAAAATTGAATTGGCATTAGTCAAATTATTTCACAAAATTAAATACTTACATTCTAGAAACAAACAAAAAGTTGAAGTAAAATAGGATCTCGGAGACAAAAAAAAAAGTTGATGTAAAATGGGACCTTGATGATTGATCATGATTCACAATCAACAATGATCATCCCATTGTGTCCAATTAGTTTCAGTACCCCTAGATTAAGTGTCCTCTTTAAAATTAGGCCCACACATCTCGCCTTCACTATCCACCCTTGGGATTGCCTTTTGTTCATTGGATGGCCAAAACTCATCAAACCACCCTTGCTATGGAACATACACCCTGCAATTTCATCCCAAAAACATGTCAAATCTTGATGTGGAGTCATTAAATCTTTAAAAAAATGAAATCTTGAAAATGGGTTATATTTACCTTTTGGGAAAGGTGCAAATTAGCTGGCACAACCTGCTTTTATGAGCACCAATTCATCGGAAATGACGACAGATCCATCTGCAGCTATTGAAAAACAATTATCTATAAATGAAAAGTGAAAGAGAAGTAACCTGTTGTGGGTTGGAAATATGTGAAATTGAATATAACCAAGAGTTGTATCAACACTTGTTCCAAAACTACTGGAAACACTGGTAAAGTAAACCTTGATATCTAAAGTAGTATCCTGATAGACCTTTTTTGTCATCCATTGAAAGCATTCAATAAATTTGAACTGTACAAAAATTGAAAGTGTCACAGCATGAACAACAGAAGAAAACCTAAATTGCATCCTTCCGTCCAAATGACAGTACCAATTGAATGACAGTGAGAATTATAAAGCTAAACTGCTGTGAACCCGACCATCGGAGAAACTTACCGGCAGCAAGGACTGTGTTTCCCACTTTGATTCGTCAGATTCGAAGGGGAAAGGGAGCCCGGTCTCAACGTATTGTATCAAACGCAGCGAAACGCCTTTTTTGACAAAATGGAACTTGGCTTAAGAAAACTGAAACACAAAAAAGGGGAAAAAGGAATTGGGTTGTGATAACACCCAAATTCATGTTGGTTGGGGCTGTTGCGCCGCTTCGATTGTCCCAGTCCCGTCGTCAGAACCAAAATCGGAACCCGGTCGATGGTCAGAACCTAAATCGGAACCCGCTGCTGCGATGAGGTCAACACCTACGTTGCACAGGGCAGGTTTGCTGGCGGTGGTGTTTGTGACAGGCCGGAGGTGGAAGCTTGAAGCCGAGAAGAAAAAAGAGAGAAGAAGAGGGTACATCGTGTCTTCTCTTTCGGTGATTAAGGGCTCACCGGTAATGGCATGGGATAGAAACACCGGCGGTATCGTTGATGCATCTCTATCCTTCTCTGTTATTGAAACGGAAGCGAAACACATCCGAATATTAGTGGATGAGAAAGCGGGTAGGGGAATGAAGCAGAAAAATCAGAAGAATCGAGAACCTCAACGGAAGATATTGGATAAGGACGCGGTGGGAAGGATCGGAAGCGTATAAACCCAAACGATGATCGACACACAAACAAAAAAAAGGGACCGGAAATGTAATTTAAGGAACCAAAATTGAGCAAAATGTGTCATGTTTACTGTTAAAACTTTTCACAACTTTAATATATATATATATATATATATATATATATATATATATATAAACTTTTCACAACTTTAATATATATATAAGGGATAGGGAATATACATTACAGCATCACCTAAGCTTAGGTACTAAACTTCTAAAATATGTCGTTTTAACATGCTAAATATACCCGATTTGGTTTCACTTGGTAAATATATCATCATCCATAACATTTCTTTCTTTCATTATCGTTTTACCATCTCTGTTTTCTTTCCTCAATTATCGTTTATTATTTCACCCAAGTGAACATTACTAAACCTTAAACTTAAACCCTAAACCCTAAATTTAAACCATAAACCCTAAACCCTAAATCTAAACCCTAAACCTTAAATCTAAACCCTAAACCCTAAACCCTAAACCTAAACACTAAACCCTAAATCTAAACCCTAAACCCTAAACCTAAACCTAAACCATAAACCCTAAATCTAAACCCTAAACCCTATTGTGTTGATCTTGAATTTACATCTTGAAGTATTAATCGTGAATCCATTAACCGTAATCTTTATATAGTAAAACAATGTATTTTCAAGAGATTTAATACCTAAGCTTAGGTGGGGCTGTAATGTATATTCCCTTTTCCCATATATATATATATATATATATATATATATATATATATATATATATATATATATATATATAATATGTTAACCCACTATTTTCTTTATATGGAACAAAGTCGTATTATTTAAGAGTTCTAAACATGTAAAAGATACAAGGTTTTGCTGTTTTTTGCTTACATCAATAAGTTTCATTATCTTTTAATTTATCTAACTTTTATTTATATTTTACATAATCTAAATTCAACCGTTCCACGTGTCAAAAACCTTCCCAAACCTTCCCAAGAACAACAAAACTCTTCCAATTACGTGACCTTTAAACTCTAATGCTTCGGTCACACTCGTTCCATATCGACCATCACTAACAAAGAAAGAAATATTATAAAATTCCTTTGTCTAAAACATGTCACGACATGCTCCAGATTAGTAAAAGCTAAAAATAATATATATTATTATGTTATAACTTTGTAAACAAAGAATCATCATTAGAACAATCTAGAACCAATCGCCAAACAAAATAATAACTATAACAATTTTGGAAATTTTAAAATTACAAAATTCCAATTCTTTTTTTTTTTTACTTCATTCAATATCTTAATAAATTCGCAATATGTCATCATATGTATATTTATTACAATTTTAATTCGACTGGAAAATAAAAAATTAAGTAAAAGGGATGATGACGGAAGGTGGTTGGTTAGGCAAATTGAATATAAAAACCTTTGGTGGAGGAAAAAAGTATGCAAAATTCAAATATTATAATTAAAAGCCAATAATGGCGATTAAAAATAAGATGCTTCAATAATTATGTAATTTAAAATGAATAAGTGAAGTGGCGTGGCCTTTTGTGGATCGTACACGTGTTGAGGTCAATTCAAGTGGTAGGACCCTTATATTGTTTAAAGAAATCCTAGCCAATGAGGGCGGAGCTTTACAAAGTTTGGACGGTTTTAACTTTTAAGGTTGAAAATTTCTGTTACAATGCCATGGTAGCCATCAACATTATATAGTTTTGTTTGTTTATTTTAAAACTAGATGTGACACCCATGTATTACATGAGTTTATTTAAAAAAATTAAATATAAAATTTTAACAATTTGAAGAGTTTGAATTTATAAGAAAAATGAGAAAAAATTTGAATTATTAAAATTAATGAGACTTTAATGTATTGAATACATTACATATATAAACATTTTTAATAAATACCTTACATATATATTACTTTACATATTAAATGTGAAATTTTAATTTAATAAAATGAAAATTTAATAAAATGACAAGTGGAAAATAGAAAATTTAAAATTTTTAGAAAATGTCATGTGTCCAAAATGAAGGAGAAGAGGACATGTGGCAAAAAACCTTCATTTATTAGAGTAGATCAGCATACAATTAAAAATATACTAGCATGTATTATGTTATTTCCATCATATTCTTTATGAATAAAAATTATTTATATTATGTTTTTATTTATGACAGATGAATAAATAAAGCTAAAGAGTTATTGATAATATATTTATGACATTTAAAAATGATATAGTTAACAACATATTTTATTTATATTATTTAATTAAAAAAATGAAATGGTTAACAACATATTTGTCGAGTTATTGATAATATATGTTCCCTTTTGACCCACTATACATAAATAAGTTTAAATCATCTTTTATTACTAGTAGTTTACTAGTGTAATTAAAAACTATCAAATTCATTGTAATGATAATCACCCTTGAATTGGGTTTGTTGAGATCTTCATTATATAGAAAAATTAATACAAAAGATAATTTATATATATATATATATATATATATATATATATATATATATATATATATAGGGAAAAGGGAATATACATTACAGCCCCACCTAAGCTTAGGTACTAAACCTCTTGAAAATACATTCTTTTACTATATAAAGATTACGGTTAGTGGATTCACGATTAATACTTCAAGATGTAAATTCAAGATCGACACAATAGGGTTTAGGGTTTAGAGTTTAGGGTTTAGGTTTAGGTTTAGGGTTTAGGGTTAGGGTTTAGGGTATAGGGTTCAGATTTAGGGTTTAGGGTTTGGGTTTAGTGTTTAGGGTTTAAATTTAGGGTTTATGGTTTAGGTTTAGGGTTTAGTACTGTTCACTTGGGTGAAGTAATAAACGATAATTGAGGAAAGAAAACAGAGAAGGTAAAACGATAATGAAAGAAAGAAATGTTATGGAGGATGATATATTTACCAAGTGAAACCAAACCTGGTATATTTAGCATGTTAAAACGACATATTTTAGAGGTTTAGTATCTAAGCTTAGGTGGGGTTGTAATGTATATTCTCTATCCCCATATATATATATATATATATATATATATATATATATATATATATATATATATATATATATATCTTAATTGTGGAAAACATACATGAAATATTCTAATTAAGGAAGATACACACAAAAAAGGAAAAATAAATATTTAAATCCTAAACCCCCTCAAGCGGAGCACATGATTGACACAAATGTGAAGCTTGGACCTAAGAAATTCAAAAGAATGTTGATGCAAGCTTTTAGTGAAGATATCCGCTAACTGTAAATGCGAAGGGACAAACTGAACGCATATCTTCTAAGCAACAATGAGCTTACGTATGAAATTGTAATTGATATTAATTTGTTTTGAACACTTGTGAGCAATCAAGTTTTTGGTGAGATAGATGTAACTCTTATTGTCGCATAAAAGTGTGGGAATAGTAGAGGATGGCACCTGAAGATCACGTAGAATGTGTGTACCCATAAAACTTCAGCAACAACATTGCATGATCTTGATATTCAGATTCACAACAGGAGCGAGCAACTATGGATTGCTTTTTAGTTGCCCACGAAATAAGGTTATCCCAAAAAATATAGCATAATTATAGTAGTAGACGTGTCGTCTCTAAACACCGTATCCAATCAACATATGCGTAAGCAAGTATAATATAAATTATCAGAGAATGAGTGATGTTGAGATCATAGTGGATTTTCCCATGAACATATCGCAATATGTGTTTAACCTCAATAAAGTGTACATTAGTAGGTGCTTGTAAATAACGGTTGACCGAGTTCACAACATATGAAATGTCAGGGCGTGTAATAGTGAAATATTAGAGAGCACATACTAACGAGCAATACAACGTGGGATCCTTAAATGGGGAGCTAGATGTAGTGGTGACAGTTGATGACACGACACGACAAAAATACACGACACGAAACAAAATTGGGACGAAACTGAAATTTAAATTCGTGTTCGTGTCGTTTTCATGTCAATTGTAAAAAACACGGTGTCGTGTCGTGTCATGTTCGTGTTTAAAATTCAACACGAAACTGACACGATTTAACATTGATTTGTCGTGTTTTTCGTGTTTGTCATGTTATGTATGATTAAATATTAATTACATAAACTAATTGTTATTTTATGTTATCTTTGTCGTATCGTTTTGTGTTTGTTGTTTTTTAATTGGCTCCTTTTCGTGTTAGTTAAAAAACACTACACCATGTTGTGTCGTGTTCGTGTTACATAAAACATTTTCATGTCGTGCCGTGTCAAACAAAAACACGACACGATGACCCGATTTACCACCCCTAGCCAGATGTACTATGAAGATGAGAGTCGACAGAAAGAGATGTGTACATAGGATTAGCAGCTAACATTTTTGCATACACGAGAATATCACTGACATATTTTGCTTATCCAAGAAAGAAGCCATCCTTGGTGTAAGAATCCTCTAAAGCAAGGATATAACTAAGGTTCCTAAGGTTTTTTAAGGAGAACTCTTAATCAAGTCTAGTAATAAAGGTCTTCATGAGTAACGAATCATTTCCCGTGAATACG